TAGAAAGGTTGATCATTGCTGTGTTTAGTATGCGTTGTTTCTAGTAGTATCTAGACTGTTGAGTTGTAGTGAATGTTGATGTTTATTCAGCGTCGTGTTGGCGCTGGTGTGGTATGGAAACGACAACAAGTGGTGTTGAACGTAGTCAGAATGATGACGATGATAGTTGTAGTAGAGTAGTCCAAGAAATCCCAACGTGGGTAGCAGACTCGGGCATTGACGGCGATCTTGATATGGATTTCCTAGCGGCTAGGATAGTCGTTATGAGGAGTCCCTGGCAAATGCCTAGTGACCGGAAGGTAACTTCATAGTAGTGTTGGTTCCCTTAGCAGAGCGCAGGAGTTTGTTTACTGCACTATGGGAATGTACTCACGACCTGGCGTGGAATTTCGCAAAATTCTCTCACTGTCGCCAACTTTTTTCGGGAAAATGTTGGTATGTGGGAAAACTTCCAACCACATCACTCGAGTTTGTATGAGAGTATATAGAGTTGAAATTGTTCGTGAATGATCGATCGTTTTCTCGAATGAGAAAGCCGAATTTCCGATATGTAATATGCAAATTTTTGACTGGCAGCGGTTGGTATTCATTGGAGTTTCACCCTAGTGATATGAAAAACACTAGTGATGAATATATTTCACGACTACTGCATATCACCGCGAATATCGCATTTTTCACCGAGTTTTACGCTACTGCACGTAAAGCGGGTTGTGAAACTTCATTGTATAAGTTGAAACGTCTATATGCTGGAAGTTGACACCGACTGATGGAATCCTATTGTAATATCAACCTCCTCGGCGGCCTTAAGATGACATAGGACATATAATACATTCTATAAGAGTGTCACCGAGTGACCCGAATCTTCCTTTCTGGAGGATGCCATTATGTGATCCCCAGGCACATCGGAATAACATTGACGTCGTTTCGGAGTATCTTCGCAATCGCTACGGCTGTAACTTTGTCGTTTGGAACATAGAGCGATCGCAAAGATCATTGGTGGAACCGGAGAAATTCCGGAATCAGGTGGGGGAGGTCGCGGGTTCAATCCGATGCAACTACATTATTTATTCTGAACATCATTTACACCATTTGTTAATTCTAAGCACAGTGATGGTAACACATGGCACTACTGCGCCTTGATAACGGGTATCCTGGTGGTTCTGACGTGATGATAGTAGTCGTGAATCTCAGAAGAGGGCGTAAAATGAGAGGATGGAATGGTATGAGGCCTGTAGGAATTATTGCTGTGATGGAGATAAACTATGGATGAGACGTATAATATTTTACAGTACTTTCCATCTTTACACAAATTTCACCAGTATTTCTTATATGTTAACATTTTTTATTCATCTTGTTACAGTATTTCACAGAAGTTTCTTTATATTTCACAGTATTTTTACACCATTTCACAGTATTTTCACAATGCTTCACAGTATTTTATATATGTTAACGATTTTTCTTGTATTTTTCATATTTCCATAATATTCCAGTGTTTTACAGTATTTCACAGTATTGTTCATTTTTTTAGAATATTTTGCAGTAATTTTCATCTTTTTACAATATTTTTCATCTTTTTACAGTATTTCACAGTATTTCACAGTATTTCACAGTATTTCACAGTATCTTCACAACATTTCACAGAATTGTTCATTTTTTTCAGAATATTTTACAGTAATTTTCATCTTTTTACAATATTTTCCATCTTTTTACAGTTTTTTTTTGCAAAAAAAAGGTATTTTCTTGTAATTTTTACGGTATATTTCTGCTCTCAGGTCCTCAATTTCACCCTATCTACTTCATCGCCTAAAGAACGGAGTCTTTCTGTAGCTCCTCCGAGCATTGGTAACTAGCTATCTATCTAGTTCTTCAATAAGGAATATTCTGATTCAGAGCTTCTGACGAGGTTCTGTTCATCGCTAATGTTTTGGCTGCACCTGGACCGCACTAGGTTTGTGGCTGTTATTCACTGTCGGGACACATCTGTATGTGGGGGGGGGGGGAGAGGCGGAAATGAAAATCCTCAAAGTTGGTGAATAATGAAAATTAGTGTATATGATGATAATATAATAGGGGATTCTTATTCTTCTTGCGCAGTACCCCTTCGACCAGGCGAGCAATAGCCAGTATAGAGGTATAGCTGCAGGCTCAGTCACTGCTGTCTGAGCCTGCAGTATGAACCGGTAGATAGTGTGTTACACGGTAGA